GCTGAAATTTTAACCTAAAGGCTTGTGAAACAACTTGGTTTGAATGAAAGCTGCAGAAAAAAAAAAGGTTTTCTTTACTCATGTGTTTCAAGTGATATAGTTGAGTTCTCAGCCTAAAATGTACTGAGTATTCATCAGTGGGCCTCCTCCTTCCCAAGACTGAGTAGACGGGACTGAACAGAGAAGCAAGGTGTGCAGGACTTAGTAAACTGATACAGTCCTAAGTTTTCATAATGAAAGATTATGAAGTCTTTTTCCTTAGAGAGGAAGAAAAGTCAAAGCTGGCCTAAATTTTAGCGTGAGGAAGAGGATGTATACCAGACTTTTTACTCTAGCACAACACTTGTTTTCTTTATCAAATACTAGGAAGTCAGAACTTGGATTTTAGAAATGTTTTAGTATAGTTTTTAAAGCTTTTATCCTTCCCTAGAAATGACCAATGTGCAGGTTATAATTTATGGCAGTTTTACAAACTGAGGAATGGTGAATGTAGTCTCAGCCTGAGTCTTGGGGTTTGTGAAGTTTTTGTTGTACACATGCATTCTGTTACAAATCACAAAGCATGTATATGCCTTGTGAAATTTTCCCTTCTACATAGTTAAATCTTTATGTCCTTACAGCCAATACTGGCATTAAAATAGAGATTCTCAGAAAAATGGATACAGTTGAGGTTTAGAAGACATAATTCTGACAGCCATTAATGTTAGCATTGGTTATAGAGTACAGCAGTTAGCTAACAGAAGACTAACAGATGGATGTAACAAATTGTGTTTATGTTCAGGACTGATAAGCAACAGCCAAAAATGGATACAAATTCATTAATATCTCAGCCTATTCATTAAAATTTAGATTATGTTGATGTTCCCTGATCATTCCTTATCAGACACATTGTTTTCCTAATAAACCAGGGCATCAAAATCTCTTCATTTGGGTGATTTGCTAGGATTGATACATACTCACATCCTCAGTTCTTGTAAACAGTTTTGTCAATAAATAATCTGGGAGGAATTAAGTACTGTGATTTATTGGGAGATACATCAAATCTTAATTTGCTCCATAGTCTTGCATTTATAAGACATATTCACAGAACTCTTATGTAGATAGAATACTAAAAACACCTACAGTTTGGCATAAACATCTTGACAGTACACAGGCTCACCTGAGTGAGTCTGTTGGTTAACATTGCCGTGTGTGTGTGTGTGTGTGTGTGTGTGTGTGTGTGTGTCTGTGTTTGTGTCTGTGTCTGTGTGTGTGTCTCTGTGTCTGTGTGTGTGTGTGTGTGTGTGTGTGCTGATCTTGGGGATTGAACTCAGGGCCTGGGCACTGTTCATGAGCTTTTGTCCTCAGGGCTAGTGCTCTACCACTTTGAGCCACAGCCCCATTTCTGGCTTTTTGGTAGTTAATTGGAGATAAGAGTCTCACAGACTTTCCTGCCTGAGGTTGGCTTTGAACCACAATCCTCAGATCCCAGCCTCCTGAGTAGCTAGGATTGTAACCATTAGCCACCAATGCCAGGCTCTCTCATTATCTTTTATATGATAGTTCTTGTAAGAGACAACCTATCTCTTGAAGAGATAGGATAAACCAATCATCAAAATATGCCCACACATCAATAAAGTAAGTTCTCCAGTAGACTTGACTTGGTGGCCCACAATTTAACTCAACTTTGACACTGTATACTTGTCCTTGGTGTGAGCTCTCACAAGTTCAAGGCTCACAGAACTCAGGACACCATATGGAGGTATTTTGTTTATTATGAAGGTTATTTCAAAGGTTGCACAAAAGCAACCAAGAGGAATTGATGCACAGGACAAGAAATGTAGGAAGGGGTGAGGAGCTTCCACTATCCTCCAAGTACTTTCTTGTGTCTAGGAATCTGAAACCTCTCCAAACCTTTTCTTATGGATTTTTATGGAGGCTTTATTATGTATCCATGACAATATATAGGCATCATTGATCAACTCTACTTTCTACCCCTTTCCTCTCCAGAGAGAGAGAAGGGATGTTGTACTGAAAATTCTAACCATGCAGTTGATTACATAGCTCATCTCCCCTGGAACAAGATCTACCTCCATCCAGAGTCTGTCTGGAGCCCCAACCTACCAGTCATTAGCATATAAAAAGATACTTAGACCTTTAGAGATCTATGTGCCAGGAACTTAGGGTAGTATTTCTTTTGTGTGTGTATGTGAGTGTGTGTGGTTGGTCAGTTGTGGAGCTTGAACTCTGGGCCTGGCTCTGTCCCTTAGCTCTTCAGCTCAAGGCTAGTGCTCTACCACTTGAGCCACAGCACCAATTTCTGTTTTTCTGGTGATTTATTGGAGATAAGAGTCTTACAGACTTCATGCCTGGGCTGGCTTTGAACTTTGATCCCCAGATCTCAGCCTCCTGAGTAGCTAGGATTATAGGCATGAGCCACCAGCCCCCAGCAAAATATGTATTTCTTATATCACAAAATCACAGTTCTACATAGAGAACTACTTCACATAGTATGGATTTACCAGGAATATCTTCTAATTTCTCAGAACTTTCTAACAGGATATATTCCAAGCCTCAGTACCCTATAGTCTGTTTCCTCTGTTTGAAGGCAGGCTATGAACTATTTATAGTTTGTTCTATTCCATTCATTGTTCTTTTGCTGGCTTTTATTCATCGTGGGCCAGGACCATGCCAATGCTGGGAACACTGTGAGGACTGCAACCTGCTCATTTCTCTAGTGGGATTAATAAGTGTAATGAGGACACAAACACTTAAACAGTGTTTTAGTGACATGGTAAGAGCTAAGATGGTGATATACATGGAGATTAGCCAGTTACTTAACAAAACTTAGTGTTTGAATTTTGCAAGGCAGTTATAAGATACCGAATAAAATTTAAAATTTGCTCTTTGGATTTTGCAACCAGTCTGAGGAGAACTGGGATTAGCCCACCAGCAAGTATTGAAAGCCTCAAATAGCACAGCACTGAGACTCTGGTCTAGCTGAGTATCACAGAGCTCTTTCTTAGGAAAGATCTCCTGTGTCTAAATATAATCTTTTGCTGTAGCTTAAGTCCCTTACTAGTTAAAAAAGAAAAAGAAAAAAAGGAGTACTTCTGTCATTTACAGAATAAGGACCAAATCCACATCATTCCCTTGGGAATCCAGAAGCCCATCATGTGACTATCTGTACTGCCCAAGGTTATAGGTGTGTTTAGACACTGATCCCTTCAGTACTCCAGATAGCCAGAGTGCCCTGTGAGTAATCTTACTTTGTTTTCTAGTTTTCACTGTTAAGAGAAAGGCTTGGAAATACTGCTTTAGAAAGTCTGCCTTTTTTTTAGAAGGCTAGTTTTCCCAAACCACCTCTTTTGTGTTTCATTAACCTTCTTCCAATTCTCCTCATTTTTTTACCTTAGTTTAGTAATTCATTTTTTTATTATAATAAATCAAGTAAAGAGTACATTTCTTTTTGGACACTGTCACCCCTTTCCTCACTCTCTACCAGTTTTTCTCTCCCATCCCCACCCACAGTTCATTTTCAATATAGTGTCTAGTGAACACCACTGTTGCATTTGTTCACCCTCTGTCCCTGCATTTCTGTACAGTAACTTTAATTTTTTATTACCTTTAAGTAGTTATATAAAGGGGTTTCAATTTAATGTGTCAGTTTATGAGCATAATACATCTTGATCGATGTTACCCCCTTTTACTGTTCACCCCTATCTTTTCCAACCCCAGTATCCCTGATTCCATTTTCATATAGGCACATTGAATATTATGATTATATTTGCCTATCCTTCCTGTGTCCATTGGCCTTACCCTCCCACAGACAACGCATATTCCAGATTCCTGGTATTCATTTTGTTAAAGGGTAAGTTAGTTGTTGAAAGGAGTTACATCATTGGAATCCTCCCCTGTATATACCATACTTTGGTTCATATTTTTGTGAGATATGTACAAAACTAACCAAAACTGGGGGAGAGGTGGGAATGACAGGATGTACTTATTTCCAACACCTAATACTAATAGACACAATTCTCCAGTCAAAGGATGTAGAATGACAAGCTAAGTTTAGTAATTCTGAAGGGAAGAAAGGACTCTCCAAAGGAACTGACTCCTTTTAAAACTGTAATGGAGGGGCTGGGAAGGTGGCTCAGTGGTAGAGTGCTTGTCTTGCATGCATGAGGCCCTGGGTTCTGATTCCTCAGCACCACATAAGCAAAAAGAAAAAAGCCAGAAGTGGCGCTGTGGCTCAAGTGGTAGAGAGCTAGCCTTGAGCTGAAGAGCTGAGGGACAGCCCCCAGGCCCAGAGTTCAGGCCCCACGATCGGACCCCCCAAAATTTAAAAAAAAAAAACTGTAATGAAAAAGATTCTTAGATCTTCATGAGTATCAGTTGATTTCCTTAATAGTTCCTTTGGGCCACAGTATTTTCCACCATGAGGAAACCAACATTCCTTCTAAAGTTTCTGTGTAGGCGTCATGGATATAGGGTTTTGTCGCTGCATACAAAGCAAATAACAAATAAATATTATTGATTTTATTGTTCAACACTTTTGTTTTAACAGAACCAAAAAAAATAGCTCTTTCTACATGTAAGATATTATTTGGCTTTAAAGATTTATTAGTGAGAAGCTAGCTATTATGTCTGCCATCACAGAGTTTTTTACAACAGACAAATAAGTTATTACAGCATGATATGATTGGTGCTTTTAGAGTGTTTGGAGTGAATTGGGTCTTGTTTATTTCACAGCAAAGTATTGTTTTGGATATATTATTTTGGATATTTTGCATATAACTTAGAAGAGACTCATCTGAATATCATTTCTTTGATTCTTCAATATAAAAAATAACGTATTTTTAGTTAAAATGTTCCTGACGTTATATGATGGACTTGAATATGCCATTTTGAATGTACATTTTTATCTGACCAGAAGCTGATTTGGGTTTTCATATATATATATTTATCACCTGCTGCCTTCAATTAGAGATGTGTGAAGTAGTGCCATTGTTTGTTTGCAGGGAAGGTATTCATGCAAATCATGAGTCACTACAAATATCTCCCAGTATTACAGAGCAGTTCATTGAACTATTGTGTCAGTTTAAGCCACACCAAGTTATAGAGACACTGCAAGTCCTTGAGTGCTACCGGCTGGAAGAAACTATTCAGGTAAGGCCAACAATGTACAAAAGAAAAGAATAACTTGTCCTAAAAATTGCCCCTTTTGCCAGATAAGCACAAGGTAATCACAGATATTAATAGCTAGTAAGTGGCATCATCAGATACTAAATCAAGTAGTCTGATTCCATAGTGCAGACCATAATTGTTGTGACAGTCTATTAAGGTCAGAAACAACACATGTCTAACCTCTTATGAGTCAACCTCTAGCCAACTCAATGAGGCCTAGAAAAACGGAACTCAGGAAAAACATTTGAAGGAGAAAAGTAAACTCTTATATACAGATACGAATGATTAAATAGTCCTATGGTGCCATAACCTATAATAGGCTAAATAGTAATCTAATTGTTTTAGCACAATTCATTGCCTTGATCTGCTTCCTTTTTCCAAATGAAGTGAATGTGTGTGTGTATGTGTGTGTGTGTGGGGGGGTGATGTGTGATGTGTGATATGTGTTTATTATATACCAACCAGTATCAAGCCTAGTATGTTCTCCTTTAAATTTCATTTTAAATATATCATTATTTCTTTTCTTTTACTATCAACAAACTGATAAATACCCTGTATTTTCTTTATTGAGCTCCTGAACTGCCCACCTACTTTAAAAATTGTTTACAAAATATTTCAAACATTTAGAAGTGTGCAAAGTATCAAATACATGTGTACTCGCTAAATCAATTTTAATAGTAATCATATTGTCAGCTGATTTCAAACTGGGGTTTTGTTGGGGGTTTTTTGTTTGTTTTCTGTGTTTTGTTTTTGGTTATTTTTGTGCCTGGGGCTTTAACTGAATGCTGAGCCTGAGCTTTTTTTGCTCAAGGCTAGTGCTCTACCACTTGCCACATCTCCAGTTCTAGATTTTTTTTTTGATAGTTTAGCAGAGAAAAGAGTTACAACCTTTCTTGCCCTACTAGCCTCAAACCCACCATCCTCAGATCTGAACCTCCTGAGTAGTTAGGATTATAGGCATGAACCACTGGTGCCCAGTCCTTATTTTTTTAATAGAATATATTAATTGTACAAAGAGGTTTCATTGTGGCATATTTATATATTCATATTGTTCAAACTCATCTCCTTTCTTATGCTTTCTTATACTCTCCTCTTTTTTAAATTCTTAATGGACTTCCTTATTCTGTTTTCACACATGCATATAAAATACTTTGGTCATGCATTTCCCCATGCTTCCATTTCACTCTCTCCTCCCTCCTCACTCTCACTGGTTTCCCTCCACAGACCAACCTTCTTCATCTTACTGGACATAGAATAGTCTGATTTTCCAGTCTGTTTACATCTCTTTTGATAAATATTTGAATGTTTTCAGCCTTTTACTGTTAAAAACAGTGCTCTTATACATGTTCTTCTACATACATTCTTGCACCCATATAAGATTTTCTGGCAATGCAGTTATTTAGATAATATATATAGCTGGTCACCAGTGGCTCACACCTGTATCATGGTTCAAGACCAGCCCGAATAGGAAAGTCCATGAGATTCTTATCTTCAGTTGACTACCAAAAATCCAGAAGTGGAGCTGTGGCTTGAACACAAAAGCTCAGGGATAATAGTACCCAGGCTCTGAATTCAAGCCCCAGGAGCAGCACACACACAAAAAATTTATATATACATATATATATATATATATATACACTATATATAATATATATGCACATATATGTGTTAATATACAGTAGCTTAATTCAATTGACACTGCCTACTTGAATCCCTGTTTCTATTATGAGCAATAGTTAATATTTGCTATTTCCCACATCCGTTATGATTCCTAATATTTTAGGACTCATTGATTACTAATAAGTAATCATTGAATATTCATGACATTGCTTAAGGATTCCGAATAACTTGTTTGAGGTTTTTCATTCTTTTATTGTGTTCTAGAACTTCTTCCTAATTTCTGATTCTATTACTTTGCTATTTTATGTGGTAGAGATGTCACCTTCTAATCTAATACGGCATTTCTTTTAACTTGGCTTTCAGTGTTCTGTTTTATTATTTTTCCCGTTAAAATTTAAGCTTATATGCGTGTCTGTTTCTATTTCTGTTTTGATGGCACAAAGTATATCTTAAGTTTTACATTTTATTTCTTACATCTTAGGCTTTTAATCCAACTGGAATTTATTTTACTCGGTTTATCAAGGAGAAGTTTCTATCTTTTTTCCCCTCACATGGTGGTCAGTGGTTCATGTATCATTTTATGATTCTTTCCTCACTGATTCTTTGCACCATACTACTTTATGTCAAACTCTCAAATATGCATGATCTATTGTGGCTTCACTTCTTTTCCTTTGTTTCTTTGTCAGTTTCTATCCCCATCCCACATATTTTAGATATAGTTTTAGAGTAAAATTTATTGTTTTGGAGAATGTGTCCTGCATCTTCATTGTTTTTGTTTAAAATACTTTGGTTACTTTTGACCTCTTACTGTTCCACATCAGTATCTGGATCACATCAAATTACTTAAAAAAAATATCCTTCTGAGCCTGGCACCAGTGGCTCATGCCTTTAATCCTAGCTAATCAGGAGGCTGAGATCTGAGGGTCACAGTTCAAAAGGCAGCCTGAGCAGGCAAGTTAGTGAGACTGTTGTCTCCAATGAACTGCTCAGAAAAAACTGGAAATGGCTCTGTGGCTCAAGTGGTAGAGCACTAGCATTGAGTATAGAGAGGCTCAGGGACAGAGCCCCCGTCCTGAGTTCAAGCCCCAAGACCAGCCAAAAAAAATCCTTCTGAAGCTTTGATTTTAAAAAACAAAGTGTATTTGTATATTAATTCAGATAGAGATGACATTAGTATATTGTTCACATTTAGAAACATTTGCATTTTTTAAATGTCTCATCCCTTCTATAGGTTTTTATAATTTTTACATAAGATTCTTACACAAATTTTCTTAAATTGGTTCCTAGATACTTTATAGCTTTTTCTATTATTGTGCAAGGAACTTTCTTAAATGACTTTTTTTTTATTATTTACTACTGTGGCATTTGAATGTGATTAATGTTTGTGTGTTTTGCATTTATCAATAAGCCTATTTTTTGCAGTTCAAACAGTTTTTTTTGATAGTTTATGGAAATATTTCCAAGAATAGTGGCAGATTTTTTTTTTCACTTTATAAAAATTTTCATTCCAATCTTTCTCACCCAGTATGTAGGGTTCTCAATTATTGAATAAAAACAGTGATACCTTCTAGCCTTGGTCCTGGTTTTACAGGAATATGCCAAATACTTTCCATTGAATGAAATATGGTATTTCTTGTAGTATGTTGAAAGATAATTTTTATTAAGTTAAAAATTTTATTTCTAGCTTTGGTAAGTATTTTGTGTTTGTTTTTGTCATGAACAGGTGCTGCATTTTACCAAATGATTTTCTGTATTTTTTGAGATACTCATATTTTTCTCCTTTGATCTTCTAAACCCATTAATGTGTTATTTGAGCCTCCTTTTTCCTCTTAAGTATTTTTTTTGCTTTATTAACCTTTTCCAAGGCACTTGTCAAACTTCGTTCTTGTTTATTTATTTGCTGTCATTTTCTGTACTTATTTGATCTTTTTAGTCGATTAGATATTCTTAGTTCATTAACTTTTATAAGACTTCCTAAGTATATTTTCATCATTTTGTTCTAAATATTTTATGTGCAATTACATTTGATTAATTTCTAGTTTATATTTTATTGTTTATGTGTATATGTTAGCTTCTCTTTAGTGAATATACATCATTCAGATGCAAAACATTCTTTAAAAATTGCAATTTAAAAATGAATTTTGTCCAATTAGAACTGCCAAATGGGCCACTATAAAACTAGAAAGTCAAGTATTTATATATTATACTTTAAAACAACATACTACAATGGAATGATTTATATAAGGTAGTATTTACATTTCTTGTCTAATTTGTTACCCCACCCTCATTTTTTCCCTCTTTCCCTCTCTCTCCCTGGACCCCCCTCCCAGGTTGTACAGATCATTTCCAGGATCTCCTCTCTCTAAAACTGGATTATAAATGAGAATATTTACCTTTTTTATCCCCCTAGATTACTCAGAAGTATCAGCTCCATGAAGTCACTGCTTATCTATTGGAAAAGAAAGGAGATATTCATGGTGCTTTCTTGATAATGCTAGAGGTAACATTTGACTGTGTCTTTCTTGTCATATTTGTATCGATTCATAAGTCCATTTTAACTTCTTATATTTCATGATGTTTTAGACAAAGTACTTTTTACTTATTAATATTTTTATAATGTGTATTATTGATTACAGTTGAATTGGTGTGTGTGTGTGTGTGTGTGTGTGTGTGTGTGTGTGTGTTGGTGCTATGGTTTACTTCAGGGCCTTGTACTCTTGCTATATTCTACCATACCTCTAGCACAGCATTTTGCTGACTAATTGAAAATTGACTCACATAGTCTTTTCTGCCTGTATTGACATTGAACCACCATTCTTCATGCCTTACAGTCTTGAATAGTTAGACTACAGATGTTAGCCACTGACATCCAACTCTAGAATTTGGTATGTCTTGGTGGCATTTTTTAGACAAAATTTATATCACCAAAAATAAATAAAACCTACAAATTTGATGAGCTTTTTGACAAATGCACCTATTTTTGTAAGCTAAGTCCTCAGAACATAAGAATCCTTGCCTTTACTCCAGAAAGTCCCTTCATGCTCCCAACTCACAGAAAAATTCACTTATGATTGTTTTCAATATCTGATAAGTTGTTGTATATAAGTATTTTTTCCCAGCATAATGTTTCTGAGACTTATCTCTCTATTTTATCAGTAATTTGATGCTGTCTGATTGTGTGATTATGCTATTCTGTTGAGTGATATCTGGGCTATTTCTAGATTTTTTGGCTGTTACAAAATCTGGTATATTCTTATGCAAGTGTTATCTGTACTAAAAGGTTCTGCCATTTTAGACTCCCACTGATAATGTATTAAAAGTTTTGATTGTCTTATATTCTCACCAGTATTTGGTGCTTTATCGATAAAATAATTTTCCATTAAAATTATTTTTAGATCCAGGTGCTAGTAGCTGATGCCAGTAATCCTAGCTACTCCAGACGCTGAGAACTGAGGATTTCAGTTCAAAGCTAACTCTGGGCAGGAAAGTTCATGAGACTCTTCTCCAGTTAGCCACTAAAAAGCGTTTGGAGCTGTGTCTTAAGTGGTTGAGCTCCCATCTTGAGCAAAAAAAGCACAAGGATAACGCCCTGAGTTCAAGCCTCTGGAATGGCATAAAAATATAAAAGACTATTTATAGAACACATATGGTATAAAATTTACCATCTTAGTCATTTTAAATGTGCTAGTCTCATAGATCAAAGTGTAGACAAATTATTATATAACCACCACCACTACTGCCATTTATCTCCAGAAAGTTTTAATCCCAGTTAAAAACTTGATACTCATTAAACATTACTTCCCATTCCCTGCCCACATCAACCCTTGGTAGCCACCATTCTCCTATCTATCTATCTATCTGTTTACCTACCTATCTACCTATCTTTCTATCTTTCTAGCTATCTCATACAAGTGGAATCATTAAATAGTTAACCTTTTCTTTGTAGCTTATTTCACTTGGCATAGTATCTTTAAGGTTGTTCCAAGCTGTAATACATATTTGAATTTTTCCCTTTTTTTTAAAGGTGGAATGACATTTCATTCCATGTATGTACCATGTTTTGTTCATTCAAATAACATTAGGTCGCTTCCACCATAGGGCTATTGTGAATGACATCACCAGGAATGCACAAGGCTCTGTGTGTCTTTCCAACACTTCTTTTTTCTGTGTTTTTCATAGTAGCCATACTGAGGCATAAGGTGTCATGTAAGTTTTCTTTTTGTATTGTCATCCAGTTAGAAGTAGGTGAGAGATGTCCTACTTATATCAAAAAAGTGTTCCATATTGGCTTCTACTTTCTTTCGAGCCATACAATTCTAAAACAGCCTGCAAAGAATACCTCACAGAAGCTTTTGTGCAGGCTCTTCTTTTAATCTATAAATTACCCCTACATCTCTTTTTTTTCTTTGTAGTTTTTCTGTGGGAATAGTATGAACCTAGTATTAAAAGATAAGTAAAAGCATTCTTGGCCTAGATATGGGAAGAAGATACAGGAGCTCCTGGCAGGGTATAAGACCATTACTGGCAAAGCCTTGAAAATATGAAGAAGTGTAGGCTACAAGGAGAGTGGCTTTACTGGGGCTCAATTAAACCACATATAGGCCAAAACAAAGACTCAGTTCAGATTTGAACAGATTTTGTAGGATCAGTAGAGAGTCAAAAATAAGGAACTAACTTGTTTCATGAAGACTATTATGGTGACTAAATAGGCAGAAAGTGAATTACAGAGGAGGGAGATGCCCAGAGCCTTTGAAAGGTCATTGTAGTGGTTGGTGTAGGTGTATGTAGGTGAGCTTGCTATCAGTGTGGCAGTAGTGATGGAAAGGAACAGGACAAATACAGGAACTTACTGATCATTTGACTCTGTATAAGGTTAGTGAGAATAGGTATTGAGTCATGATTTTAGCTGTGAATTTGGCCTATAGGGAACTCCAAGAAAAAAAAAAGAAAACAAAGTTTAGGTAGAGAAATATATTAGGATCAACTTCAATATATATTAAGAAGCCTTTAGACTATCAGTTAAAGTCATCTAAAGACCTAGAATTCACTAGAGTGAATAACTTTATGCAAAGGATGGGTAAGTCCTAATACTCATTTCTGTCCTGAGGGGTGTCAGTGACAACTATGTGGCAGTGTATAAAAGATGCATATATAGACAAAATAAGGGACACTTGATCTTTTAGGTCCCTTTTCCATACTGTTAGCTATATACAAATATTTGTTTCTGAATGACAATAAGGGAGCATTCTATTCTTTTTTTTTCCTGATCCTGGGGCTTGAACTCAGGGTCTGGGTGCTGTCCCTGGACTTTTTCTGCTGAAGGTTAACACTCTATCACTTCAACTACAGCTCCACTTCCAGCTTTTTGTAGTTTATTGGGGATAAGAGTCTTACAGACTTTCTTGCTTGTGCTGGCTTTGAACAGCAATCCTCACATCTCAGCCTCCTATGTTGCTAGGATTACAGGTATGATGGAGCTGGGCACTGGTGGCTCAGACCTGTAATTCTAGCTACTCAGGAGGCTGAGATCTGAGGATCACAATTCAAAGCTAGCCCAAGCAGAACAGTTTGTGAGACATTTATCTCCACTAAATTATAAAACAAAAAGCCAGAAGTGGAAATGTGGCTCAAGTGGTAGAGTGTTAGCCTTGAACAAGAAGCTCAGGGACAGTGTGCAGACCTTGAGTTCAAGCCCCAGGACCAGCATAAAGAAAGAAAGAAAAAGAAAGGAAGAAAGAAAAAAAGAAAGAAAGAAAGAAAGAGTGGATAAAAATGTTTTTGTTACCTCTTGTGTTTTTTTACTTCCTAGAGACTACAAAGCAAACTTCAAGAGATAACACATCAAGGTGAAAGTAAGTTCTTGAACATAATTTATAATTGTTTTTCTCTTCAATTACCCCATTTTTTTAGTTTTGTTTTTTAATTTTCTGGGGGGATCTGGTCCTGGGGACTGAACTGTGGGCCTGGGCGCTGTCCCTCAGCTCTTCAGCTAAAGGCTAGCACTCTCAGCACCACTTCTGGCTTTTTTTTTTCTGCTTATGTGTTGCTGAGGAATCAAACCCAGGGCCTCATGCATGCAAAGGAAGTACTCTACCACTGAGCCACCTTCCCAGCCCCAATGACCCCATGTTTTAAAAGGTTTTGTTAAACTGCTTTTATTAGTTATAATGATAATAGTTCATCTGTATAATTACTGCTTATCCACTTTAACACTAGCAGATTTTAGTTCATTCTCAAAGGTTCATAATAAGAAAACATTTAAATCTCTATAGCTTAGTATACTAAGTGTTGATCAAGCTTAGTATTTAGGAAACAGGTCACTATTCACTGCTACAAGATTATCTTTTTGGTTGTACTTCTATACATTGGTTATGTATAAATGAAGTATGTAACACCCTTAAAATTGGTGTAATGTGCCAAAGAACAGTAAATGAGAGTTTCTAATTAGTAATAGTGTTTCTATACTGAATCTATACAATTTTAACTCAAAGCAGTTAAAGTTGACAGTTTCGAATCTTGAATGCCTTTGACACAAATAATTAAAAATTTTATCATGGGATTTGACATTTTTTAAGTATTTTAAAAAATTATAGTAAGGGCTGGGAAGGTGGATCAGTGGTAGAGTGCTTGCCTTGCATGCATGAGGCCCTGGGTTCGATTCCTCAGCACCACATAAGTAGAAAAAGCCGTAAGTGGCACTGTAGCTCAAGTGGTAGAGCTCTAGCCTTGAGCTGAAAAGCTGAGGGACAGTACCCAGGCCCAGAGTTCAGGCCCCACAACTGGCAAAAAAAAAAAAAATTATAGTAAAATATATGTAGCATAAAATACATAGTGTTGTGATTGCCACCATCTAGGTTCGACTTTATTTTGGTCAGTCGATCATTTGTGGGGCTTGAACTCTGGGCCTGAGTGCTGTCCCTGAGTTCTTCAGCTCAATGTGAGCACTTTACCACTTGAGCCACAGTGTCACTACCTGTTTTCTGGTGATTAATTGGAGATGAAAGACTTTCCTGCCCAGGTTGGCTTTGAATCATGATCCTTAGATCTCAGCCTCCTAAGTAGCTAGGATTACAGGCAGGAGCCATCAACGCCTGGCTAGCTTCAACTTTTTCATCTCCCCATCTGGAAATCTATTAAGCAGCAACTCCTTATTCCCTACTCCCCCAGTCTCTGGAAACTACTATTCTATAGAATTCCCTGTCATTCTAGTTACTATTCTATTGTTCTCTTTCTGAGTTTTATTGAAATCATACAAACAAAATCACACAGTGTTCGTTCTTTTGTTAACTGGCTTATTTCTTCACTTAGCATGATGTTTTTAAGGCCATAAATGTTGGAAAACATGTCAAAGTTTTCTTCCTTTTTGAAGCTGAAATATATATATATACACACACACATATATGCACATTTGTTTATCATTCATCCTTTGGCATTCCACCTTTGGCTACTATGAATGGTGATGCTGTGAACTTTGGTGTGCAAATATCATTTTTAGTCCCTGCTTCCATTTCTGGTATATAACCAGGTCTGGGATTGCTGTATCACATAATAATTTTATTTTATGTCTCTTCTTCTTTCTTTCCTTTCTACAGTTTTTTCATGTGATGTTAGGGATTGAATCCAGGTCCTCACACATTCTAGGTAAATGTCCTACCACTGAGACACGTATCTCTGCTTTGAATTTTTTGAGGCACTGTGATAGTTTCCATAATAGTTGTACCATTTTATATCACTATCGCCAGTGAATAAGGATGATAATTTTTTTACATCCCCGCCACTTTTCTTCTTTGCTTCCTAATGCTTTTCTGATGGAACTATTGTTTAAACTCATACTTGCTTGCTCAGCTGATGCACTACCACTTGAACCATGTTTCCAGCACTGCCTTTTGCTGATTATTTTGGTGACAGAGTCTCACAGACTTTTCTCCTGGGCCAGCTGAACTGTAGTCTTCCAGAGCTCAGCCTCCTGAGGAACTAAGATTTCACTCATGAACAACTGTTGCCTAGCTTCTTTATTCTTTTTTGATAATTGTTCTAATAGATTTGAGATAGTATCTCATTATAGTTTTGATTTGCATTTTCCTAATAATTAGTGATGTTGAGCATCTTTTTTATTTTATTTTTGGCTGCTTGTTTATCTTCTTTGAAGAAAAAAGCTTTCAAATTCTTTACCCTATTTTTTTTTTTTTTGGTGTTATTGAGGAAATGAACTTAGGGCCTCACACTTGCTAGGCAAGTACTCTATCACTTGAGCCACACTTCTACTCCTTTTGCTTTTTATTTTATTTTATTTTTTTGTCAGTCATGGGGCCTGAACTCTGGGCCTGGGTGCTGACCCTCAGCTCTTCAGCTCTTGATTAGCACTCTACCACTTGAGCCTCAGCCCCACTTCCGGCTTTTTTTCTGCTTATGTGGTACTGAGGAATCGAACCCAGGGCCTCATGCATGCAAGGCAAGCACTCTACTACCATTGAGCCATCTTCCCAGCCTCTTTTTAGTTTATTTTTAAGATAAGGTCTTGTACTTTTACTCAGGCCTGCCTCCTCAGCCTAAGAATCTCTATCCCACCTCTCAAGTAGCTGAGATTAGATGTACATTTTCAAAATATCCTGCTGGAAGGTACTTTGGTAGGTGATTTTTAGCCTATCCTACCTCTAATGCAATGTATTTCTTAAACTTTTTGGCCACACATTTCTGTAATACACATTTGTTTTAATTCTCTATACATGAAAGGCATCCCCAAGAAAATCACTCAGACACATGATCCCATACAAAGAAGTTTAATGTCAGTAACTTGACAGGCTACCTCCTCGGCTGAGATTAGCAGCTAGAGGGGACTACAAGCTCAGTTATATTGGGTGAAATGTGAGGGGAGTGAGAGTGGGATATTTGGTTGTGGCAGGGCTAAGATTTATGGTTGCTGATGCCTGAGTCACCTGATAAGGCCTGAATCAGCTAATTTTGGGGAAATGCTTATATCATCAGATTTTGGGGAAAGGCCATGCTTTACAGCAAGTCCTAAGATAATGGAGTGGTTCCTAAGGTAGAGGAGGTTAGGCTAACAATGCATAATTGATCTATGTTTCTTCATAGTTAAGTCATAGTTGCTAGAGTCTATGTATTGTATTGCTTTGGTTTTGGTTTGTTTGTGCCAATCCTATGGCTTGAATACAGGGCCTGGGCACTGTCCCTGAGCTTTTTTTCCTTAAGTCTATAGCACTCTACCATTTGAGCCACAGCTTCACTTCAGTGTTTTTAGTAGTTACTTGGAGGTAAGATTCTCACAGACTTTCCTGACTAGGCTGGCTTTGAATTGGGATCCTCAGATCTCAGCCTACTGAGTAGGTAGGATTATAGGCATAGGCTACCAACACCCAGCTTGTGTATTGTATTTGTACTATGCTGAATCTTTTTTTGAGCTTCAGTAAATACTTCATTGACTTTTCCATGTTGATAATCCACCTAGACATTTAATTACTATTTTAACTATCAAGTTATGCTTAATTGTTTTGACTATTAATCATGGCATTTTATGACATTTTTCTTCTCAGACTTCATGTTATAAGAGTAGTTTTTCAGGGGCTGGGAAGGTAGTTCAGTGGTAGAGCGCTTGCCTTGCATGCCCGAGGCTCTGGGTTCGATTCCTCAGCACCACATAAGCAAAAAGAAAAAAGCCGGAAGTGGCGCTGTGGCTCAAGTGGTAGAACACTAGCCTTGAGCTGAAGAGCTGAAGGACAGTGCCCAGGCCCAGAGTTCAGGCCCCACGAGCGGACCCAAAAAAAAAATAATGCATGAAAAACTGAGGGGAAAGTAAGAAGTATATTTTTCTCAAATTACTGTAATGATTTATTGGTGGTATATCAAGAGAGGTCATTTCTTTTAATTAAATAAGTATAAATTTCCAGTAATGGTCTCATAACCAGTCTACTAATAGCCAGCTTTCAGATTCAATTTTGGCAATGTGCTTAAGAATTTTGAAGAATTTAGTAATTGCTAGACATTGTACTTGGTTCATATGGGTAATACACAGATGGTCAAAACAAAGTCCTCCCTCCCTTAAAAACTGGCAGTCTTGTGAAAGAGGCCCAGGCAAATAAAATTTTAATGTAAGTCAATTGCAGTGTATGAAGGTGCACTAAAGGTGGCAAAGGGATTTGGAAAATTAGGGGAAACTTTCATTGCCCATGAATTAGAGTCTAGTAAAGGTGTGACAGACCTTTGAAGTCAGATTATAAAGACTTAGGTAGACAAAGCAGAGGAGGGGCATTTAGGGATAAAGGAGGATGTGAGCCTGGAAGGGCTTCACTGGTCACCAGATAAAATCTGGTAACACCAGAACACAGAGAAAGGGGAGGGTAGATGAGCCCAAGTCTTTATTACTTAGGGTCAGAGCTCTACTTACTTTTATAGTTGTTGGTTTGGTTTGGTTTTTTGGTTTTGGTACAGATTTAAAATAAGCAAAATAAGTTGAGTTTTCCGCATGGAAAGTTCAGAGTGCTTTCAAGCTTTCCACATGGAGATTGTGTCCAAGTTGAAAATTCAACTAGCAGATTATAAATGGAAGAAAGCTAAAGTGTATATTTGAAAATTAAAACCACAGAAGTGGATGAAATCAATCAAAAGTGAAAAGACAAAAAGAACCTAAGACAGAATCTTAGAGAAATACCTATATTTAAAGATTAAAGGGAAAAGCTGGACACCAGTGGCTCATACCTGTAATTCTAGCTATTTGGAAAGCTAAGGTCCAGAGAATGGCAGTTCAAAGATAGTCCCAGCAGAAAAGTCTGAGAGAGTCCATCTCAAAAATAATCAGCAAAAAGTTAGGCTGGAGGTGTACTTCAAGTGATAGCCAGCAGGGCAAGCAAAGTGAGAAAGCATGAAGCCCTAAATTCAAACTTTGATACCAGAAAAATGAATGAATCAATAGTAGACCAAGAAAAGTGAAAATTTCCAATTAATCCACAAACAGATGTCTGTAAGTAAAGCATATTGAAGTGCTAAGTATAGTATGCTTTGTATGTACTTTGAATGTTAGGCACTTATATAGAAAACTCCTACTACACAGAAAGATCTGTTTTAGAGTCTATTAAACCTCAATATCAGAATTACAAAATAGAGAACTAAAGTTACACAAAGAAAAAGTTTTTCAAGACCCTCTGAAATGGTAGGGTGCATATCCTTAGGGGAGGTCTATACTCTTTCTGCCTCTAGGTACTGAAGAAGATTCCTCACTGAAGGATGTTGAAGGTACCATTGTAGAGACGATTGCACTTTGCCAAAGAAATTCCCATAATTTGAACCAGCAGCAACGAGAGGTAGGAGAATTACTACTTAAATACTTAAAAGCCTGTTGTTGTCTGAAACTAAGAATTCATTCTCTTTTCCACTGCCCCCCTCCACCACCTGAGTTTAATTCAGCTGGATTTTAATCACTCTTTAGTGTTCCCAGGAGGTTAAGACTCTTAAAGTAATTATAAGGAGTGTCTGGCCTCTTTCTTCTCACAAAAGGCTTTATGTTCTTAGGTCTGGCTGTGCTGCAAAACATAAGGTGGAAGAATACTATATGTCCCCAGTGTCTCTGGACTGAGGTTTTTGTGTATGCTATGTAGCGGTACTATGGGAAATTTGGTCATTTGTCTTCTATTCCCTGTGGATGAAAATGAACATGAAGAACTAGAAGGAATCCCTCAAGGGATACAGAGAAAGCTGGAGAAAGGTCAAAGAAGCCTTATGATATAGTAGCTCTCTGCTTTGGCTGTACATTAGCATCACTGGAGCGCTATGAAAAATCTCATTGTTCAGGCTGCACCCCAAATCAATTAAATGAGAGTCCCTGGGGCTGGGACTTAGCCATCAGTATATTTTAAAGCTCTTTACATGATTCAGTATGCAGCCACAGTTGGAAACACTGTTGGTACGGATGTGGAACTGCACAAAGGGAAAAACCAAACAAGTTTAGGTGACCACTGGTGCAGGTGGAGGTTACAGCAGCAAAGCAGAAATTATGGGTAATATGTATTTGACAGCTAAATTCTGTGGTGACTGTAAGAAGTGAAGATGTGGCCTGGGGGAATATGTGTGTGTGTGTGTGTGTATATATATATATATATATATATATATATATACACACACATACATACAAAATGAGATATATATATGGATATACATATGTATATATATACATATATGATATATATCTTACCTAGCATTTGTGAGGACCTGGTTCAATCCCTAACACCAGGGACAGTGAGTTGGGCGAGGGGGGTTGAGGGGGGGTGGTTATAATGCTGTATCATAACATAGCCTCAGTCCTCTGTGCCTGCCTTTCCATGGTGAAGACTTCTGATGTCACACCCCTGGCCTCTCCCACAGCCTGGGTTTCTGAAATGAGGAACAAACTTAAGTGTTCATATATATTTACCTATACATTACAATGAGAAAATGGTATATTTTCTGTTCTGTCACTAAATTTCTCCTATAAGTTTTTCTCAGGAATTTTTCTAAGTTATAAATTTATGAAAGTTCTTTAGACTATAAATTATGGAAATTTCAAAAGACAAAAGTATCTCACAGCTAGTATCTTTTTTTTTTTTTTTTTTGTCGTTTATGGGACTTGAACTCTGGGCCTGGGCACTGTCCCTGAGCTCCTCAGCTCAAGGCCAGTGCTCTACCACTTGAGCCAACGCACCACTTCTGGTTTTCTGGTGCTTAATTGGAGATAAGAGTCTCACAGACTTTCCTGCCTGGACTGGCTTTGAACCGCAATCTTCAGATCCTCCTGAGTAGCTAGGATAACAGGCGTGAGCTACCAGCACCTGGCTACATTTAGTATCTTTTAAGTAAAATTTCAACTAAAATTTGTTTTTATCAACAAAAAATAGAATGTATTTGCCTTTGCCACAGCTAAGTAATAAAAAATGTATTTCAGATTAAGATAACAAATTGAGATAAATCTATTTCAAATTAAGTTATATATAACTGTGACTTTTTTTAATTAAAAATACTTTTTCAGCTGGGGACTGGTGGCTCATGCCCCTAATCCTAGCTACTCAGGAGGCTGACATCTGAGGATCATGGTTCAAAACCAGCCCAGGCAGAAAAGTCCCCATGAGACTCTTATCTCCAATTAATCACTTAAAAACTGGAAGTGGTGCTATGGCTCCAATGGTAGAGTGCTAGCCTTGAGCACAAAGAGACTCCCAGACCCTGAATTCAAGCCCCACCACCAGATAAAAGAAAAAAAAATTTTTTTTTAGACAGGGCATAGTGGCTCACACCTGTAATCATAGCTACTCAGAGGGCTAAAAATCTAGAACCTAGCAGTGTTTTTATTATAACTTTTCCAAAAATTCATGCGTCTGCTTTTATTCATCTTTTGGTGAGCTGAGTCTATCTGTGCTTATTTATGTTTTGACAGGGAAAGACAAAAGAGTAGAATTTTTAAAGTTATATTTATACATATTTAATACTAGGCTTCACTTTTTTAACCTGTTCATCTTCTTTCTAATATATTTTTGATGGTCTTCCTTCTTTGTGTGAAACAGTAAAGAAAAAAATAGCAATTACTGATACTTAAACTGAAGTATGTCCAGATTTACAGATACTAACATTAAAGTATAAAATCATTACCTCCATAACTCTAGAGATTTTTCTGACTATAGTTGAACTCTGTATCTCTTAATCTGAAATAGATTTTTATCACTTTGATGTGGCAAAGTCAAATATATTCTATTTTTTGTTGCTAAAAGAAATTTGACTTGAAGTTTTATTTAAAAGATGGTAGATGTGAGACATTTTTGTCTTTTGAAATTTTCACTTCTCTAAGATTAAGCCATTTATTGACTATAAGAGAGGTCTACTGACAGTCTACCTATGTTTTCCTCTCTTATACTTTCTCTCTCTCACTCTCACTCTCTCTCTCTCTCTCTCTCTCTCTCTCTCTCTCTCTCTCATGCATGCACCAGACTCTGCTTTGTGAGGCCATTCATTGAGGAAATCTATAGGACTTTTAGCCCATCCACTTTGCTTTGAACCACCCACATTTTTCTCATTGGCAGTTTTTTTTAGAGCATTTGTAGATTGTTGTACAACAAGAAAACATACTTGAATTTAAGACATATTGGCTTGGTTTTTTAATAGGAAAGATTTTTCCTGGATCTTAGGAAGAACCAATAATTTGGAGTCAGACAAATTTACTGCAATGTGATTATTTTATTTCTCAAAACTTCTATTTTTTAATCTCAAGTGAAGGTAATACCTAGCTATAAGTTTATAGGAGATTGAAATAAAAATATATATTTAAGGCATTTAATTGAGTGTCTAACATAAATAAATAAATAAATGGTATATGTGTTTGTGTCTTAGTGAGGGTGGCATTTTTGATTATTAGTTAAAGATAAGAGTCTCACAGGCTTTCCTGCCTGGGCTGACTTAGAACCACTGTCCTCACACCTCAGCCTTCTTCTAAGTATCTAGGATTATAGGCATCAGCTACTGGTGCTTAGCTAATTGAAATAACCTTAACTTCCACTTCCTGGCCTTTGATGACTTTAGGAAATTCAAAGTAATTCTTGATATAGGGGGGAAAAAATCTTTGGATGACCTCTATTTGTGAATTTTGCTTAATATTGCTGAATAAAAAAATGAAGGTAGCTATGAAATGTGAGGTTGTATAGACTTTGTTTAAACAAAGTCTGATACCTTGAAAGAAGCTTTTCTGGGCTCCTTTGACCTTACTTTTTCCAGAGACACATAAAATTGTAATTCCAAGTCTTCCTTGGGTTTCCAAGGCTACAGCATAAACATACCTCTTCCAGCTATGGCCTCTGCTTTTTACTGATTTGGTTATTTTTTTCTCTCTTTCCAATCACATGTTTCCTCTTCTCTTTTTCTAATTTTTACCAACAAATGTATATGAGAATTGTTAAATATTATGACAATATTAGTTTTTTTTTTAAATAACAGGACTTCGGTTTTTCTTTGGTTTCCTTTAACGTTATAGGCACTCTGGTTTCCATTATTGGAAGCAATGATGGCCCCACAGAAGCTGTCCAGCTCAGCCACCCCTCATCTCCACTCCGAAGGTAAATCCATCAGAACTGCCATGACTGACCCATCTGCATTATCAACCTAATATTGATCATTTATGTATAAATTATAAATATTATGTTTATATTTTACATATTTATATTATACATGTTGGTTACATTTTATACATATGCTGAGGATTATAACCCAGGGTTTTATGCAGTACCTCTGAGCTATACCCCAGCATGTCAGTATATCATAGCCTTACTATTTTTTCTTAGTGAAATCATGTGGTAGTACTGATATTATCTTCCAGGTTTAAAAATTCTTTCTATAATTCCACTTATATAGATTATCTGGAATATCGTACATTTGTAACTTACCAACAATTAGTATTAAAATACCAAACTTTCCTTGATTAAGTTTCTAAGCTATATAAGTCCACTATTTTCCCCTGACTCAGACATAGACCTGAAAACCCTTATTTTAAAGTAACTTTAACATTAACTTTTTGTTACAACAGCTCTGAAATCTTTGACCATGCAAGTTCTCAATAGCATGGCAGCATTTATTGCTCTTCCATCAATCTTGCAAAGAATCTTACAGGTGAGTTAAAAATGGGGAAAATTAAATGTTTGTGATTTCAACTAATATTTTTCCAGTAGTAGGCTGATTTTCAGCGCTTCTTATGCCTAAAACAGCCATTTTTTAGCATTATCTAAATGTCTAACTTATAACTCTGAGTCTTAAGTCTTTCCTGTTACTTCATGGGTATAGATTTGCCTGACTGAAGCTCATAACCTGTGGTTAGGGTGTGTGGACTTCATTGTTTCTTTGGGATTCAGGTACAAGAGCTTCCTTTGGTGTGCTGACTGGAGAGAATTACCATTTATATCAGCTGTTTATACTTTTTAGATCAAAAGAAAAGTAACCTAAAAATAAAGTTAATTGGCACTTCTAATCACAGATTGTTAGTAGGTTTTCTAACTCATTCTAGAACTATTTTTATGTTTAAGACTCATCTCTAGCCCTAAATTCTAACCTGCTTTTTGTCCAGAATTTTTGTGGGAAACATTATTTCTGCCTGTTTTCTTCAGCAAAAAGGCAGGAGACTTTCTTAACTTCATCAAAGATACACACTAAAAATATACTAAGATATATTTTTAGGAAAATATTTTTAGGGGAATAGCAGAAATTATACTTAAAATCAGTCTTCATTTTCTTCACGTGTTATAGCCACATTTTAAAAAATCAGTAAGATAATACTATTGGTCTTTATAATTTTTATCTAATCAAAAAGTCCCTGTCAGCTGTATTTTAAGATTCTCCAAATGTTTCTTCCATGTGCTTGGGAGCTTCTGGTACATTGTTGATTTTAAAAGAGGGAGAAGAGAAGAAGGAGAGGGAGAAGGAGAAGAAGAGTTGCTAGCCAGGAGCCAGTGGCTCATGCATATAATCCTAGCTATTCAGGAGGCTGAGATCTGAGAATAACAGTTTGAAGCCAGCCTGGGAAGGAAAATCCATGAGACTCTTATCTCTAATTAATCATAAAAAAAACAAAAACCTGGAAGTGGAGCTGTATCTCAAATTGTACAGCACTTGTCTTGAGCAAAAAAGCTGAGGGACATTGCCCAGGCCCTGAATTCAAGACCCAGGACTGGCACACACAAAAAAAAAAAGACTGCTTCTGTCATTACACAGTAGTCAGTCACAAATGCTTGCTTAGGTCTAGGAGTAAGGTTCAGTAATAGAATGCTTAGCATAAATGAAGCCTTGACTTCAATTCTTAATACTGCCAAAAAAACAAGAGTATGTTTGTAGAAGTCATCCTTGACACCTATCATGTGTCTAATAATTCTTCAATGTTTCAAAATTCAATGTTTCTTTTATCTATTTTGAAAATACATTTATTACAAAATTTGAAATCGTATGTTAAATAATACCCCATAAGGCAGGAATACTTTGTCCAGTAAACTAGGGGAAAAAAATAAAATTCTGAAGCCATCTCCCTTGGTATTTACATTTTGCTTTATGGTGAGTGTTAACTATACATTGTAATACATAAATTACAACAAAAATCTGCCTTTTCCTTGCAAAGCATATGATTTTTCAATTGTATTATAGCCTTTTTAATTGTATTGAAGCCTTTTGATATTTTTAAATCCTAACTTAAAATTATTTGGCACCCATTATATATTTTTAATTTAAATGGCTAACCGAAAGTTACTATTTCTTTTGAGGGGGGACGGGGGCTTGAACTCTGGCCTGGACTCTGTCCCTCAGCTCTTCAGCTCCAGGGAGCGCTCTACCGCTTGAGCCACAGCGCCACTTCTGGTTTTCTAGTGGTTTATTGGAGATAAGAGTCTCATGGACTTTCTTGCCCAGGCTGGCTTTGAACCAGGATCCTCAGATCTCAGCCTCCTGAGTAGCTAGGATTACAGGTGTGAGCCACCGGTGCCCCACTTAAGTCATTATTTCTTAAATTCCTTCAGTGTTTATAATTACTGTAATAATTTTCCCCTATTTGTACAAAGATTTTGGTCTTCAAGCTTCATTCACAGATACTATGTCAAATGAAGCTCACAACAATCTTTTTTGTTATCTTTTTTTATACTTTTTTATTGTAAAACTAGTAAACAGAGGGGTTACAGTTACATGAATAAGGTAATGAGTACAATTCCTATCAAGCATTATTAACTCCTCCTTTGTTTTTCCCCTACCATTACTTCCCTCCTGACTTCCTCAACTCCTCCCTCCCTCCCCCCTTTGTTTTCTTTTAAGTAAGGTTTCTTTTAAGGTTTCAGTTTAACAAATCGGATTATGGGTACCTGGGTACCCGTAATCTTGAACAACCATCTCCTAAGATAGGTAGTCAAATAACAATTTCTCCTAGCTGGTCGAAAGTATCTCATATCTATAATCCTACCTACACAGGAGGCTGAGATCTGAGGATCACAGTTCAAAGAAAGCCCAGACAGAAAAGTCCCAGTGAGACTTTTCTCCAGTTAACCACCAGAAAACCAGAAGTGGAGTTGTAGCTCAAAATGATAGAGTGCTAACCTTGAACAAAACAGTGAGGGACCGCACCCAAGCCCTGAGTTCAAGCCCCTAAATTGACCCCCCAAAAAAATTCTCCTACAAAGGAGGAAATTAAAAGAAAAATAAGTTTTTAATGATAGCACCTGGACTACTAAAAAGTTTCCTGTTTCCTAATTTGCATTTTCTATTAATCATTTGGGCTTTTCTCCTTTGTTCTCATACCTGTCGTTTTGAGGAAGTAATCATTAATGTATTAACTGTATTTGCTATATATTTATTCACTGCCATGTAAATGAAAGGCATAGTTCTTGCCCCACAAGAGCTCAAGTGAGGCAGAAAATGTTCTGATACATCTGTTCACAGGGCTAACTAATAGTGGCTACCTTTTTTGCTTTGTGTCAGAACTGGGGCTTGAACTCAGGACCTGGGAACTGTCTCTGAGGGTTTTTTTTTTTTTTTTGCTAAAGGCTAGTACTATGCAACTTAAGCCACAGCTCTACTTCTAGCTTTTGCTACTTATTTAGGGATAGCTCATGGACTCTTGCCTGGGTTGGGTTTGAACCATGATCCTCAGATCTCAGCCTTCTGAGTAGCTAAAAATACTAGTGTTCAATCAGTAGTAGCCATTTTTAAGGACTGATTTCTGCTCAAACTGTCATGAGTAGCTACCATATCTATACCCCTATACTTAGTAACACCAAGTGTGGTCATGTGAACATGACATGGCTTCTTCATTCCAGTGAATTCATTCAGTTGGCAACTGGCCCTGTTTATGCCAATCAGTTTCCTTTCTGGAAAATTTTAGAATCAAACTTGAGGTGTAGAATACCCAGATTTTCCTTTGGGGCTTTGGATTACATAATTGAAAACAAAAATTTCAGGAACTGACTGTAGCTGTTTTTCCATTATATGGACTAGAAATAGTATAATAGTGAAATAACCAACAGAAAGACGAAAATGGACAAGATGTATAAGAAGGTTCAAGATATCACAACCAGGAAAAGAAACAATGTGGGGAGAAAATACTGATGGCATTGGAACTCTTTGTCCTATTTCTCAAAGGTTCTCACATTCTCTTATTTGGGTCCTTGGAACACTCTAGTGCTTTCCCAATAGTTACCTTTTTTAAGTTAGATTGAACTCTTTCCTAAAATATATATAGCCAAGGAATAGTAGTAAAAATATGAATCAGAAACAAGAGTATGGAACAATTCCCAGAGGAATCTCAGATGTTGGAGCTAAATCTTAAAAAGCCTAAAGGAAATAAGGAAAGAAAGAAGAATATTCTAAGTAGAGGGAATCATATATTCAAACTCAGAGGTGAAGACATAGTACATTTGGGAAATTGCAAAAGTTTAAATGTGCTCAGAACATAGAACAAGAATAAAAGTTAATGTACTTGGTATATAGTATTTCTTAAATGATTAGGAATCAAGGATGAAGGAATTCTATTTATGGTCAAGTTGGCGTAACAGAGACAGATTTTCCTTACTGCTTGAAACACCCCAAAACTGGATAAAATACATGAAATAATGAAAAATATGAATATGTGACATAATGTCTTCCTAGTTTAAAAAGGGGAAGGGGGGGCTGGGAATGGGGCTTAGAGGTAGAGTGCTTGCCTAGCATGCATGAAGCCCTGGGTTCAATTCCTCAGTACCACAAACAAAAAGCCAGGAGTAGCACTGTGGGTCAAATGGTAGAGTCCTAGCCTTTAGCAAAAGAAGCTCAGGGACAGTACCCAGGCCCTGAGTTCAAGCCCCAGGACTGGCAAAAATAAAATAGTAGTGGCATAAAATAAAGGACTGTGATTCCTGAGAAACAGAAAATATGTATGCTCTACTGGATAGAAATGTGACCAGTAAAAATATTTAAACATATACTTACCATACGATTTAGCTAATTGAACTCTTAGATATTGTCAAAGGAGATGAACATATACAAAGATGTCCCTCATTAGCTGAGTGGATAAGCAACTTGTATGCCCATACAGTAGACTGCTTTTTAAAACAAGAGTAAAGTACAGGACTGAAACTGATGACTCAGGAGAGGTACCAATAGCATCTCCAGTGCTGCTCCTGCCCTCTTCTGCAGCCTCCCCACCCCTTTCCTCAAGGAGGAGATGGAGGGTCTTCAGCTTGAGGCACTGACTGATACATTCAAGGAAAAGGCCAGCTGCCCGACATCAAAGTGTCTCAGTCAAGCCCCAGCTACAGCCAAGCCTTTCATTCAAGTTTTATTTAATTTATTTTAATTTGTAGAACTGTATTGTTTATAGAAATGTTACACAGGAAGTACAGAGAATTTGCCATCTACAACTTCTTCCCTCCCCAATGTCGCCAAGCACTGGCATGTTATGTCATTGTGGCACATTTGTTAGAATTCTCACCCAAAGTTGGTACCTTATTATCAACGAAGTCTATAATTTACATTAGCACTCATCATTTGTGTTGTACAGTTCTGTGGGCTTTGATCCATATCTCATGTCATGTATCCATACAGAATACTTCGCTCCCATATGTCCCACCACCTCCCCCTTCTCTGTGTCCTCATCCCCTGGAAACCAT